ACAGGAATGTACTGAGCTATGATTTGCCCTTTTGGGAGAAAATATGGTGGGTGAATGCAGCGCGCTAAGAGGATGAGATCTTCCGGACCACCCGGGAAGGTGATCGGGGAGATCTCAATCTCTGGGGGTGTGTGTCTTGTGTCCCCGATGGCGATAAACTTACAGTCGTGTCCATTCCCTGGCTGGTTCTCCTCCAGTGGGTCCACAGCTACCACCGTCCAGTGCTGGGACCGGAAGAGGATGTCTTTGACGGTGATAAGGTGTCGCGTCCGGTAAATTTGCCACGTCCGATGTTTCTTTCCCCCCACCTCCGCGATACCTGCCCCATTTTTTGCATCGCGCGGGGCAGGTTCGCGCCGCGCTCTCAGTTTTTTTATTTTTTATTAGCTGTTCCCTCCAGTACCCTCTCCCCAGATCCATTTCCCACGAGCCCCTGGCGTAGGTGGGCGGTGGGACAGTCCCTCGCCATGTGACCCAGTTGTCCACATCGGTAACACTGAGTAGTTCTTGCTGGTGGAAGGATGAACTGGCCCGACGGGTGTTGGGTCACTGCCGCTGTTGGTGTTCTCCTGGCCGCCTGTGGTGGTGGTGGTACCCTGGACGCCCCCACTAACGGAACTTTCTTCTCACATGCATCAATGAGGACGTCCAAGGTTGGCGGTGGATACATGGGCAAACTAAATATAACCTGTTTGCAGATGTCATTACAGTTTGCCTTAGCCATTTCTAAGACAAGCTGCTCTTGTAGCTCAGGTTTATCAACTTGTCTTTCTATTTGCTCCTGTAAACGGTTAATAAACACGGTAAATGGCTCATCGGGGAACTGTTTAATATTTGAGAAGTTGGTCAGGGGTTCCCCCCCTGGCAGGATGTTAAATACCTTCTCTGCGGCCTCCGTGATCTTAGCTAAGACAGGCTGGGGTAAAACCCTTGCCTGTTCTTCTGGCTTCCCCCAATTCCCTTCACCGCACAAGTGATCTATCGAGAGGGGGTTTTCATCCGCGTCAACCGCGGACTCCTCGCTGCGCAACAGCTCAGGAAGGATGGTCTCTAACGACTTCTTCCACCTCTGTTTCCACAGCCTATAATCAGCTGGGGAAAGGAGGCAGGCAAACAACTCTTTTAAGTCGTGGGGGACCATCTCGTTCGCGGAGAAGGTGGCTTTTAATAAACCCTTAAAGTATTCACTTCTCCTGCCGAACTCTTTCTGGGCTTTGCACAGCTCCCTCTTTGTCTGGAAGGAAAAGGGTTCCCATTCTCGGTACCTCCCTCCCCTTCCTCTAAAACTGACCGGTGCGGCAAAGGGAATCACTACCTGTTCCGGGTTCTGGTCCTCAGGCCTGTCACTTCCTGTCCCCGAAGCGTGGGAACCGGATGGGACAGTGTGGGAGCTGGGAGGAGGGACGTGGGAACCAGGAGGAGGGGCGTGGGAACTGGGAGGAGGGGCGTGGGAACCGGAAGGAGGGGCGTGGGAACCGGAAGCCGGAAGAGGCGGGGCTGGAGGACCGACTGAGGAGGAGGGCTGAAGGGAGGAGCAGCGGCCGGAAGGGGTGGGGTTTTGGGAGGTCACACTTTGGAGACACGCCCCCGAGGAGGAGGAACCACCCAAGGGGAAGTGGGAGGAGTCAGGGTAGGATGGAAGGGAGGGGCTAGGGAGGAAGGGGTTGGTCATTGAGGGAAGAAAGGGGTTCTTGGAAGAAGGAGCACAAGGGGGGGGTCCGACCATGCGGTCCCCGCCATCTTGTGCCCTTTGGAGGCCATTTTGAGGGTTAGGAGAGGGGTCAGGGAATATAGGGGAGCATTGGAAACTGGGGGAAACTGAGGCACGGGGGTTAGAAGAGGAATCAGGGAACATGGAGGAGCCTTGGAGACTGGGGGAAACTGAGGCATGGGGGTCTGAGGGTAAAAACTGGGGACTTGTAACCTGGGAAACGTTTAACTGAGGGCTGATAACTGGGGAAACTGAGGAATGGGAAGACACTCTGGCAGCTTGGCCAGGGCTGCCAGGGCAAGGGTTCTGGGAGAGACGTGGGGAGCCAGGGATCCTGTTACCCTTGGGGGATCCCTGAACAGGACAACTTGCCCTGCAGGTCGCTCTGCAGGTCTCCCTCAACTCGGGATCAGGGGGAGAGGTACATGGGGATAGGGAAACTGGGGAAACTGGGGAATTGTGTGGCGGCTGCTTCTGCATTTTCTTTTCCTCTATTACAGCAGACCGAATTAAAATAAATAATGTTACAAATTTTTCAACTGAATTATCACCTCCATTAACTATTTCCGTTAATTTGGACCCAACCACATTCCAGAATTCTACAGAATTTGCTTTGTCTGGGGTTACATTTGGGAAATGCAGGAACAGCCATCTCACAAACTTCTTTACCCTCCCACGAGAAAACTTCTTATTCCCCCCCTCAAGGGTACCCACAATTTGGTAAAAAACTCTCTTTTGCTGTGCTGAAAGACGTGCTCCCATCTTGTCAACCCTGGCACAGCAATCCCACCGCCCCCTGCAACCAAACAACAAATCAACTAAAATAAAAATACGGGTCCAGACCGGGCTACACACACACTCCCCCCAAGTCGGAGGGAGTTTTCACACACTGGGCGCCCCCTTTTCCCACACACAGGGACCACTCACCCAAGTCCGGACAGTTGTTGCAGGCGACGTCCACACCTCCCGAGGCGACCGTCTGCACGTCTGACAGCTGCCGCCTCGACCTCTGGGAGCGCAACTCGGCAAAAACGAGTCTGCTACTACCAGAGCAGCTGCCGCTCACGGTCTTTGTGAAATAGGTCCACCAACCTCTCCGGGGGTCTCTACGCCTCGCGAGAGGCCCCACGTTGGTCGCCAGCTGTCGCTGCCCGCTCGGCCCTTCACGCCCCGGCTAGCTTGTGCCAAGCGTCAGCGGCAGGAGTGGGGAACCAGGTGAGCACTGTGTGGCTCAACCTGGAACCTCTAGAGCTCCTTTGGGCTCGGGCTCTATAGTGTGCAGGGCGACACGAGGTGCAGTAAAGGGAGAGAGAGTGCTCGGAGTTCTCCAATTTCCCAGGAACAAGTTTATTCCAGCAGGTGCAGGGAGAAGGCGATGAGGGACAGGGCTGGGATCTCGAGGAGAAAGTCCGAGCCGAGACCCTGGGCACCTCTGTGCGCCAGGTTTTAAAGCCCGTGGGCGGCTCATACAACAACCAATAATATGGCAGCAGGGGAGGTGTTGTGGGAAGGGGTTACAATAGTCAAATCCAATGGTAGGGACTTGGGGGAGGGAGGATAGCCATACAACCAATAGGGCATCGAGTAAGGGATGATGAGCAGGGAAGGAACCAGAACAAAAGGTGTGGGGTACATAGATTGATAGGGCTTGGGGGTAGGACCAAAGTGATGGATGGGGAACAATCTGGAAAGAGGGGAGAGGTTTACAATGACAGGCAACTGGGAACAACTATATCGGGATAGTGGGGGAGTAACTGGGACAAACCAACTCTAAACTCAAAGAAGGTGAACAAACATACTTAATGAAAGTAAACTAACAGGCGGCAACAAATCTCCTCCAATATCCACACAATTTCAGAAATATCCTTCCAAATTCTTCACGTCTCATCAATATCCCACAACATTCCGAAAAAATCCCACAAAATTGCAGAAAAATGCCACAAAATGGCAGAAAACTCCCACCAAATTCCCTAAAACTTCTCAAAACTCTACCAAATTCCTGAAACATCCCACAAAATCACCACAAATTTCCACACAATCTAAGAAAAATCCACAAAATCCTTCAACTCTACTCAATACCCCACAAAATTCCACAAAAATTCCAGAAAATTCTTAAACTTGTCACCAAATTCCAGAAACATCCCACAAAATCTCCTCCAATTTCCACACAATCTGAGAAGATCCCACAAAATTCTTCAAGTCTCATCAACATCCCTCAAAATTCCACAAAACCCCCACGTAATTCCAGAAATATCCCACAAAATTTAAGGAACAATCCAAAAAAATGGCAATAAACTTCCACAAAATTCCCTAAAACTTCTCAAAACTCTACCAAATTCCTGAAACATCCCACAAAATCTCCACAAATTTCCACACAATCTAAGAAAAATCCCACAAAATTCTTCAGGTCTCCTCAGAATCCCTCAAAATTCTAAAAAAATTCCAGCAAAATTCTACAAAATTCTTAAAAATGTTACCAAATTCCAGAAACATCCCAAAAAATCACCTCCAATTTCCACACAATTCCAGAAATGTCCCTCAACATTTTTCAATTCTTATCAATATCCCACAACATTCCAGAAAAATTCCATAAAATGGCAGAAAACTCCCACAAAATTCCCTAAAACTTCTCAAAACTCTACCAAATTCCAGAAACATCCCACAAAATCTCCTCCAATTTCCACACAATTCCAGAAATATCCTTCAAAATTCTTCAAGTCTCATCAATATCCCACAACATTCCAGAAAAATCCCACAACATTCAGAAAAAATCCCACAAAATTGCAGCCAAATCCCACAAAATTGCAGAAAAGTCACAAAAAAATCCTTAAATCTTCTCAAAACCATATCAAATATTTGAAATATCCCACAAAATCTTTACCAAGTTCCACAGAATCTAAGATAATTGACTCAAAATTCTTCTTGTCTCCTCAATATCCCTCAAAATTCCACAAAACCCCCACGTAATTCCAGAAACAGCCCACAAAATTTAAGGAATATCCCACAAAATTAAAAGAAAAATTCCATAAAATGGCAGAAAACTCCCACCAAATTCCCTACACCTTCTCAAAACCCTACCAGATTCCAGAAACATCCCACAAAATCTCCACAAATTTCCACACAATCTAAGAAAATTCCACAAAATTCTTCAACTCTCCTCAATCCCTCAAAATTCTAAAAGAATTCCACAAAATTCTCAAAAATGCCACCAAATTCCAGAAACATCCCAAAAAATTTCCTCCAATTCCTCAAAATTCCAGAAATATCCTTCAAAATTCTTCAAGTCTCCTCAATATCCCTCAAAATTCCACAAAACCCCCACGTAATTCCAGAAATATCCCATCAAATTTAAGGAACAATCCAACAAAATGGCAATAAATTCCACAAAATTCCCTAAATCGTCTCTATACACAAACAAATTCAAGGAACATCCCACAAAATCTCCACAGATTTCCACACAATCTAAGATAAATCCCACAAAATTCTTCAACTCTCCTCAATACCACACAAAATTGCACAAAAATTCCAGAAAATTCTTAAACTTGTCACCAAATTCCAGAAACATCCCACAAAATCTCCACAAATTTCCACACAATCTGAGAAGATCCCACAAAATTCTTCAAGTCTCCTCAGAACTTACAAAATTCCACAAAAATTCCACAAAATTCTTAAAAATGTCACGAAATTCCTGAAACATCCCACAAAATCTCCTCCATATCCAACAAAATTAAAAGAAAACCCCATAAAATGGCAGACAACTCCCACAAAATTCCCTAAATAATCTCTAAACTCGACCAAATTCCAGAAACATCCCACAAAATCTCCACAAATTTCCACACAATTCCAGAAATAATCCCACAAAATTCTTCAAGTCTCCTCAGAATCCCACAAAATTCCAAAAAAATTAGACAAAATTCTTAAAAATGTCACCAAATTCCAGAAACATCCCAAAAAATTTCCTCCAATTTCCTCAAAATTCCAGAAATATCCTTCAAAATTCTTCAAGTCTCCTCAATATCCCTCAAAATTCCACAAAACCCACACGTAATTCCAGAAACATCCCACAAAATTTAAGGAACAATCCCACAAAATGACAGAAAACTCCCACCAAATTCCCTAAAACTTCTCAAAACCCTACCAAATTCCAGAAACATCCCACAAAATCTCCACAAATTTCCACACAATCTGAGAAGATCCCACAAAATTCTTCAAGTCTCCTCAGAATCTTACAAAATTCCACAAAAATTCCACAAAATTCTTAAAAATGTCACCAAATTCCAGAAACATCCCAAAAAATTTCCTCCAATTTCCACACAATTCCAGAAATATCCTTCAACATTTTTCAATTCTTATCAATATCCCACAACATTCCAGAAAAATCCCATAAAATGGCAGAAAACTCCCACCAAATTCCCTACATCTTCTCAAAA